TTGGTGGACAGCGTAAAGACGGAAGTAGACGACCCGCTGCTGATAGTGACAACGCTCGTTGAAGCAGGATACGACGGATAAGGTCTCTGTGGTTGATTGATAGGCCGAGGTAAGCTCGATATCTCAGATGATGTTGAGCCCAACAAAGGTGAACTTACAGACGACGAAGTCGATAGACCCGGTAAGAACAGAGCCGATGTAGTCGTTCTCAACGTCGAAGACACAACAGCAGCACCAGAAGATGGCATACTCGTCACCCCTACCGAGGAGACAATTGGCGTAACATCCGCCGTCTTGGTAGGGAATGTACTGAACCGACTCGGCGGGGCAATACTGTCCAGCCACTCCGTCGTACTATTCACAACGGAAAAGTAGTACGTACCTTTCGCAGGATTGGTCGGCGACGCACCAACGAGCGAAATGGTGATGATTGGTCCAGGAACAGTGACATAGACAATGCTGCAGTTGCCATCTACGGCTTGAGCCGAGACACCGGGTATTGCGTTGAGCAGTATGTCCAAGGCAACGTAGCCACCGGCCACGACTATACCGACGAAGGCTAGTGTTAATATGAGATCTTTGGAGATCTGCTTGTCGGTCCAGCGTATCCGAGTCAGAGCGACGAAGAATTGGTATATCCAGCGTATGATGCGACATGGCCACCAGTTGCGAGGCCTGAAGCCCCATCGAGGTCGGGCTGCGGTGGTAGCTTTAAGTTTGGATTCCTGCTTTGGACCTTCCCATGTGCTTGAGATGACCGAGTCTCGTTTGTCTTTTGCGCCCCTTCCGCGTGTTATCGGAGGAGCGGGCGATGAACCGGGGGAAGGGCTGGATGTAGTTGTGTCTTTGAGCGAGGTGATGGTAGGAACACAGAGCGTTTTCCCTGGGGGTTCTGTTGGGAGCTGGCGACGATCAGATGTATTGCTAGTGGATCTGGTTATAACTGCCCCGTGAGAAGATGTCCATGTCGAAGGGGTGCTTGAGCCATTCGTGTCGCTTATGGAGGTCTTCTCTTTCCTCGACTTGTCCTTACTGCGGATCTTGTTCTTGCCCATGATGAGAGAGGAAATGTTGTTGCTATGATGCACTTGCGAAGATGTTGCTGATAGGCTGTTGTGCAATGATTGTGGTGCAAGAGGTATCCAAAAGTGCTGTTGTGGTGATGGAGGACAGTCATGAGAGACGCGTGTAATAAGTCCAGGTGCGTGGGGAGTGTACCTGCCATGATTGCGGTGAAAACAGAGTAAGCATAGACTGTATATCGATGGCCAGAGTGAGGACGATGCGACATGTTTGCAAAATAGTTGGAAAGCGAGATGAATATTTGTTGACCGTTCTCGGCTCGGGAATTCGCAGCAGTTGCGATCCAGCTTGTAAGAACCCGCGCTTGACTGATCCCTCGCAGCTGACGCAGCTTGCTCATCACTGTGGTGAAGAAATGAGGCAATCATTTACCCTGCATCTTCGAAGACATGTTAGCCTTCTTGTGTTGGACATGTGCAGTACTCTCGGTCAAAACTCCCAGCCACCAGATTGGTCCGGAAACACTGGTGGTTTGGCGTCCTCTAACGTCGACGCTTCCAAAATTCAAGCTCTTATCTCCCACATTCTAATATGTCCAGCTTCGTTGGCGACTGCTAGCTGTGCGAGGCTGCCTTCTCTCTCCTCCTCTTCACTCGGCCTTCCCCATGCGACTGCTGTGATTCTGCCAAGCGGTGTCTTCTCGGTAGGCCAGTTCTTGAATACGGTTGCCGATGGGAGGTGCACCAGCCTCATGGCGTTATTCTTCCATTGACTCGCCATGGCGAGTACCTGGCCATCCGCCGTGAATGCGAGATGCGAAATTGGTGTCGTCAGGTTCTGCAAGTCGCGTACCGGCTTCGGTGCCTTGGGGATACCGCCATTCGAATCGTCTTTGGCAGGCTTGACTGAGGGGTCGTTCTCGCTCCATGCTCGCCGGTCATAAACATTGACTACGCCACTGGAACTGCCAATGGCCACCCATCGATCGCCACCTATCCAGCTTTCACGTCCGCTCTTACCACCGAGTGCGATGACTGTGGTACCCACAGCACCCTCGTCGTTCCATCTTCCTATGACGCCTCCTTCAACGCTCCACTCCGTTATCTCTCCGTTCTTGCCCGCAATGCTCATACCAGTGCCGTCGCCCCACCATGCGAAGTCAGCAACACCCCCTCTTGACTCGACGCGCACCTGTGTCGCCCACTGCAGTGTCCTTGCATCCAGAATGTTGATAACACCGCCACCCTTTCTCGAGGAGCCCCGAAGAGCCATGTATTTGCCGTTCGGTGAGAGGGAGAAATTCTCCATTGTCCGTTGTTCGTGCTGGTGACCGTATACACGCGACACCTTCTCCACTCTGCCGGTCGCGATATTCCAGACGTGGAAGTAGCGGCGACGCGCGCTGAGGAAGATGCGCGAGTCGGAAGGTGAAGGGTGGAAGGCTGTTGTGACGAGAGGAGTCTTTTTGATGTGCAGGGATGTGAGGAGAGGGTTCGGGTTGGGTGGGTTGGGGTTGACGTGGTGAAGGTATAGTGTTGAGCTAGGACCGGAGGAGAGGAGCAGCGGGTACGCGGGATGGAAGGAGAGGGACGTGATGGCAGACTGTAGTGGCAGTCAGTAAGAGGATTCTATACAATGGCGTTGCAATACTCACCGGGCCAGCCTTTGCGACATCTTTCAGTCGCTGAATGTCGATTGTGCCTGCTTGCACCTTCCTCCGCTTGGCCACGCTTCGTGAGGTTTGTGACAGAACATCCGCATCCTTGAGTAGCTTGGCCAATGGCTGTGTAGACAAATCCTCTTCGTCCACGTCCATGTCGCTCGTAGACTCGTCGCCACTCTCATCGTCATCCATATCCCGTCGGCGCTTCTTGTTGGCCTTGCCTGTCGCATGCGCAGCCCACTTTGGCGTAGGGTATAGCCTCTGGTACTGCTTCCGTAACCGCCGCGCATATTCCTTGCCATTGACCATGTCGTCATCTGCCGTCTCTCGCAGCTTCCTTAGTTGTGGCACCGACGCCAAGCTGACTACAAGCCTCTCGTCGTCGCTATCTTCCCAGGCCGGCTTGCCATCGTCCTCGTCTGATTCTTCTGCCTTTGCAGCAACGGAGCCCGCAGGCGCAGCGACTGGGCCAGCATCGAAGAAGAATAGATCTTGATCTGCCACAGCGTCGAGGTCGGCCTCTACTGCGCCAGGTTCGTCCGATGAATCGCCGTATGCGTTTGCGGTCGGGTCGAGCGAAAAGTTCTCCAGACCCTGCCGGAAGCCTTCAGAGTCGCCAAAGATCATGCGCTCCAGTTCTTCTTCCTCAGCATCTTTCGGCAAGACAGGCTTTTCCTGCTTCTTCTCCGTCTGGATGTCTATGCTCTCGTCATCGCTTTCCTCGTCCTGAGCTCCGTTGTCTCCAACTTCCTCCTCGGAGCCGAACCCCTCAAAGTCATCGTCCTGTGGTTCCTTCACCGGCTGCAGTGCGCCTGCATTTGCATCGTCGTCTGAGCCCTCGAGTTCGGACTGGAATCGCGCAGGGTCTTTCGCCTTCTCGGGTGCGTAGCGCTGGTGACCACCGGACTTGTGCGGGATCGTCTTTGCGGGCGCCATTGTGGTTTGTCGTGAATGTGCAACGAGAGCTACAGGGGCGCGATCGCAAAAGTGAGGGAGAAATTGTTGCAGGGATGACCTTGGTACGCGGTAGGATTAGGCGAGCCTCCGCAGTCAGCACCTCGCAGCACCACCACTCGCGGTCTCATCATGTAACACAACAACACCATAGCAATATGTCTAAACTCAACATGAGACAGCGTGAGTGAATAGTGAAGAATCATACATCTTGAAAAATGGTACACTAAAAAGACGTTCCGCCGCAAACGGGTAATTAAGCCCTGAATGATGTCCTGTTCCCCCGCAGGAAACAACCTCCGCTGCATCACCTGGGCATCCATTGATGGCCACGTGACAAGGCCACCGCGTCAGCTCTTTTGCGTGCAGGATGTAGAATGACAGGTACATCATTTTTCTGGGTAAGAAGAATCATATCCCATCTCCAACTCCTTTCGCTTCGGACTTCTATTGGTCGACTACTCCGATTCCGACAGGCATGCCGGGCGACGCCAAACGCGGAAGGTATGACTCTGCCCTAGGCAGACACATCAGTACATAAGTACAAGCAGATTTCTTGATTTGCTTCTCAGTACCACTACCTACATTTCACTGTCGAGTAGTGTCTTTCGTCTCTGTCCTACAGAGCCATCCAACCATCAACATGCCAAACCCTAACCTCACAGTCTCGCTTCTCAAGCCCGAAGAAGCAGAGCAATACATGCGCATACGTCACGAAGTCTTTCGACCCACCGTTAATAAGATCCTCTATGCCCGCAGCGAGCCATCTCAGGAAACCCTCGACAAAGTGACAGAAGACATCCGCGATGGTATAACCAACAAGGGCATACTTTACGTCAAGTGCGTCGACACATCGACCGGCGAGATGATCGCGGGCGCACGTTGGCGCTACGTCAAGCCCAAAGAGGAGGGCGCGAAAGAACGTACCTGGGAAGAAGTCGATGCTGGTCTCACCGTCCCACCACCATACGAAGAAAGTGACCCGGAGATGTTCGCGGAACTCTTCAAATTGTTCAACTCGAACAAGCGGGATATTCTAGGGAGACGGCCGTACTATGTGCTAGATACACTGGTTACATTGCCGCAACATGGAAGGAGGGGAGCGGGGAGTATGCTAGTGCGATGGGGCTGTGAGAAGGCGGATGAGGTCGGCGTTGAGGCTTTCCTTGAAGCGAGTCCCATGGGTGCGCCCATGTATGCAAGACATGGGTTCCAAGCTGTGAAGACGGTGGAATTGGATCTGAGGAGGTGGAGTGGAGAGGACAACATGGAGTTTATTGTAAGTTTGTTTTGTCTGAGATTCTTCAGAAGCGGGGCTAACGATGTGATAGCTTATGTTGCGTCCTGCAAAGCAGCAAACATGATGGTTTGGATCATGCTGGTCGCAAGTATCTTACTGCTTAGCATTAAAAGGGTGCAGACCGTGGATAGAAAACGTTGTGACTATTCGTTACCGGTTTCACTCAGTTCACTAACTCTTGCCTATCAGTACACTGCACGTGAATGCCACTATAACACGAAGCCTTCGATACAACTACTGGCATCAGATCACAACTTACCAAACCACTTCACAACCAGCTATCCTTCAGTATCACTTAAGTCGCAATGGCATCCTCTCAGCCAATCTATGGCATCACAGCCGCACTAAGAACATACAAAATAGAAGACGTCGAGTCGCCCGACCCAGAAGACGAATGCTACGTATGCATGCAGCCATTCAACGCCGTCGACAACAAAGACGATCCAAACGAGTTCCCATGCAAGGCCATAAGACTATCACCCTGCGGCCACCTCATCGGCAGCGAGTGTCTAAAGATCACGACGTTGAAGCTCAACATGACGACCTGCTCTCTCTGCTCGTCCCCTCTCGCCATAACATATGGAAGCCCGATGAACTACATCATGTGCCGTGTCTTGTCGAATTCCTACACCCAAGCACTGGTCGACCACGCTTTGCTCGTGGGTTCTGTACTCGCAAGCCCGCAAGTCGCCAACGTACCCCTGCTAGGACGGTTACATACAAAAGATGACGAACAGAAGATGGCTCTACTTTGATATGCCTTCTTCGCACGAGAACTGACATGGACAGACGGATTCTCTTTCTGGCTGTACTACATGAAGCTGGTGTTCGTGTCTTTGTTGGGGTTGAGCTTGCTTTTCTTCTCGAAAGGGCTTCTGATCGGGCTGGATGACTTCTATGGCGCTCCCATTGAGATGGCATTTCTCTCCGCTCTAATGGGTAGGGATTGCAGGGCTCATCTGTCCAAGATCGAAATGCGTATGGTCGTCCAGGCTGTATGCATCGCGATCGACATGAGTGGGCAGGTCGCTATGAGACGACACCCAGAGCATCTGAATAAGCTCGTGCTCATGAGGGCGGCCGCGTGGCTTAGGGAGGCTATGGTAATCTTCGATTGGGACGCTTGTCTCTTTATTGGCAGAGGCTTGCTCCTGACGAAGACGTTGGAGTTTGTCGTAATGACTGGTGTCGTCATGATGCTTGTTTCGTATGGGTTGAGGCGAGGAGGGAAGATGTTCAGGTGTGCCTGGGGGTTATTGGTCACGGCGGTGCTGATCTATTTGACGAATGGGCTTCGCATGATTTCCATTGGCAGACTGACGATTTCCATCGGCGAGTTTCCGCAGGCGTAGTTGAGGTAGTCGCGATGACGTCACAACGGTGGTTAAACGCGATATCTTTTCGCCGTCAAGACTGACCTTTCCGACACTCACGGTTCTGCTGGAAGTATTGAAGCTGCATCAAATAGAACATATAACGCATAGCTTTCTACTCAAATTGTATCATTTCGTTCTCATCCCTAAGAGTCCTTCAGCCTTCAAGCAAGTAACAATCATAAGACTACTATTTCACTCACAATCAACAGCCAGTCATCACTCTAACAAATATATGAAACGACAATACACTGAATTCACAACACGTGCATGCGCGTCATCGAGGCGGGTGCGCACATCGCCGCGCTCTCCATCCCTGTAAAGCTTACTAGAGGCGGGCTGATCTCTTCAGCGCCACATGTTTGCCTTGTGTCATCTTCACGCTCACCATCACCATCACAGATCAATGAGCGGAAAGTGATCGCTGCCTGCGCTCCGCAGGCAATTCGATTATCGCCGTGGTAACGACATCGGTTTAACGCGTGAAGCTGGGATGAGACCGGCTGCGCGAGCGACTCCCCACCCGCTTTAGGCGACAGTAGCCAGCGGTACCAAACAATCTGCGGCCAGCACTGCCTTTCCATGTGAGCTCGTGGCTCTCGTGACGAATCTGGTCACACATTGCCCGCTGTCAATACCCGTGTTGATCAACAACCATCCTGACCCTGGATCACATCAAAACCATGGATCTTCCAACTGAAGCGACCACTATCCGCAAGGTCGTCCCCAAGACGCCGCAGGTCAAAGCATCTCAGGTCTTCGACAAAGAAAACCACGCTCCTCCAACACCATTCAAGCCCAAGATCAAAGAAACCAAGCTTGCACTCAATGACGAGACCTCAGACTTCACCATCATCTGCGAAGGTCGACACTTCATCACCCATAAGAGCATTCTGGAAGCCTCATCGCCGTACTTTGCGCGCATGTTTCGCTTCAACGGTAGTGTGAGTATTAGCAACAACGTTGACAAACCTGCCATACTGACTGAATGCAGGAGACCAACAGCCGAGAAGTACAAATCCCTGACGTCGACACGGTTACCATGAAGCACATCCTAGACTACATGTACACATCATCCTACCAGTTCCCCGGCGGCGAGACCGTCCACCCTACAGCCTACTGCAACCACAGCACCTACGCTCTGCTGCACGGTCCCTCGACCGCCCCGCAGATCTTCAAGCGCAAATGCCCGTGTGCTGGTAAGACGCTATCTGCTTCGCATCTCCTCCTGCACGTACGCATCTATACGGTTGCCGACTACTTCGACATGCACGACCTCAAAGCCTTCGCACGCCAGGGCGTCGTGGACGTTTTGCATGTGTATTGGCAGTATGAGGGTCTGGACTTGGCTGATGCGCTGGAGGAAGCGTTTACGTCTACGCTAGATGATGACAAGGGGATTAGGGATGTGCTTGTTGATGCGATGAAGATGCACCCTGGTTTGGTGGTTGATGAAGGAGATGTGGAGGAGTGGTTGGAGGATCATCCTGAGGTGAAAGCGAGGGTTCATTGGGACTGAAGAAGGAGCTGTGAGGTGCTCGACGAAGGTTATAAGGCCATGAGACTACTGAGACGAGAGAGGGAATGAACAGCTAATGAGTCTACATCAGGCTTTGGTATTGTGGTATCGCTTGATAGTCTCTAATCAACGTGCCAACCTCGACCCCGTCGTCAGCCGCGTTCAGCCTTTCGTTAAGTGAGACGATCGGCTAGTGAAGCTTGAGCGCTCGCTGATGCAACGCCCGACGTCCAAGACCAAGTGGGATACCTATCAATAGGTCAGCGCACGAATCAACAACACTTCAGACCCATCAACTTACCAGTACCATTCATCCCACACCCATAAACAAAACACGCACTCGCCGTATGAACATACCTAATCCTCCCCCCCTCAACCCGAAACATATGACTATCCGGCGTCCCTTCCGTATTCCTCGTGCGATCCAGCCCCGTAAAGCCCATGAAAATGTCCACAACGCCCATCACTTCATCAACAACATACTTGCGATTAGTCATGGGCACATGTTCAGGCAGCCCACCAATATCACAGGTATTCGCCGAGAGATTTCCACGACCAGTATACGCACCACCTTCGAGACGCGCGCAGGGGGTGCCGAAGGGGACGTGGACGGAGACATCGTTGCAGCGGTCGGCGTAGGCTTCGCCGGCTGCTTTGATGGTCTCGTGGGTGTCGCGGCTGGATTCTGGGATGGGGCTCCAGGTTTCTTGGCTGTTCCAGTAGGAGGTGCCGGTTGCGTTGAAGGCCCAGTCGCCTGCGTCGGTTACGATGCTGTCGATGAGGTTCACGTTGCCTGAGGTGTCTAGGGTCATCTGCGTGTGTATGACGTATGGATGCTTGATGTCGGTCACGATGAGCTCGATCATTGTCTTGCATTGTGTGGTATCGAGAATGGAGCGGTGGGCGTCAATGGTTAGACCGAAGGCTGGTACGCCGTTTAGTAGTGAGGCGGTTTGATTGTTTTCGAAGTATTTCATCGTGTAGGCGATGTTTTCGAAACGGTCGTGTTGGCCGGTTGCCATTAGGTCCACGTAGGAATCTGCTGTGTTCTGGAGATATTCGCGGGTGCAGTCGAAAGCCACCACCGAGGTAGCCATTGTGGCTAGGGCAAGGATGAGATGAGCCATGATGATTGTAATGGTCCCGTTGGGGCCACAGCGAGAGTCCTTTAGCTCTTTAAACCACCTGAGGACCAGTATCGTCGCAGATCGAAGCGGTTTTCGCGAAATAGGTGCCCGCGTTCCTGGATTCCATGGGCGAATGGTAGCGACGCATGTGTTCCTAGTACTTTGGGGTTACAGAGTCTCGGTCTCGGACATTAATGAAGAGTGTGGGGCACTCCGGCATTGAACATCTCCCAGTATCGCGCAACCCCACACGATTGTTCTTGGGATGTGGTGGGTTTGGCTGCGATGCGCCAAAACATGTTGGAGAAACTTCAAAATGGCGTTGCGGCGAGCTTGCATACAGGCCAACAGGCTGAGTTCTCGTGCTTCCACCTTCAAAGCTCCTGCTTCTTGACATCCGGTAGGTGATAGCAATTCCTCAGTCGGCAGGCAACCCACGAAGCCTCGCAGACATTCTTGCAATGCTCTTCATCCCAGTCGTCCAGGTAGTCCCACAATGTGTTCATCGATGCAGCCTGTGTAACGTCAGTACACGACCATCTCGATGCGGCCATTGGAAGACACATACTATTTCTTGTGGTGATGGCTTGCGAGATACGTCGTCGGTGTCCGATTCGGAATCGGCTTGCACTGACTGCGGCGAGCTGTGCTGCTGGTCTTCCGCTAGAAGCGCGAACGCGTAATAGACGCTGTATATCAGCAGAGACGAGAGGACGAGTACCAGCAGAATATGCGCGACTCGAAAGAGCAGCTTCATCGCAGGTTGCGCGGCGGTCTCGGCTCAGTCAGGCTGCTGTGGATTGTTCCTGGTGGGATCTCATGAATCACGAGATGGTTGGGTGACCGAGCGCGCTAGCGCGCTTCCCGCTCTCAGGCCCTGCCACGCGTCTTCGCAGTACTTCCTTCTTTCACCTTCCCAACACTTTCATCGCAAATAACAATCACACAGCAAGCGTATCGCGAAGCAAACTGTTGTTCACGCGGATATCGCCAGATTCCAGCCATGATCGCGTCCACACTTACAACGTCGCCACACGCGCGTTCCGCTTCGACGCGTCCAGAATCTGCTACATGTTCAAAGTCACTACGTAGTAATTTCCTATACATGATCGGGGTTGATGCAATGATCTGTGGAGCTGATCGTACACATCTGAAAAAGCTGACACAAGAACACATACCACCATCTGCCTGGTTCGAAAGTCTGCTAACAATGCAGCATTGGCAACAGATCCGGTAATAAGCATCCTCCACTTTGTAGAGCGGATGGAAGTTGTTCTATACCGACCGTGGTTTCCAAGCGGATGTGTTTTCACTCCACACTCGACAGGCGCCGAAGCAGAGCACGAACCAATCGAGCCTTCACGACTGTTCCTAGGAATTTCTCTGTCTATATAATGTACCGCTCTCTTGGAGTTATATCAACTACAGCCGTTCTGCAACTCTCAACGGCCGTTCAACCTTCAACACTTTCATACGCGAAGCGCAGTACGCTCCCCTATTTTCCTAATTGTCAGCTATCGGCCCCACCACAGTCTCAGTCGAAACGGTTTCAACAATGAGCGATGATAGCTGGGATGACGATGAGCGCCGCCATGACTCTCGCCGGAAGACGAAAGATCGAAGAGTGAAGAATGAAAAGAACTTCCTTGAGACGTTGATGGACTCATCAATCGAGAACAGCATGAACAAGCCGCTGTTTCAAGCTATCAAGGTCTGGATCGATTGCAACATAGGCATAGACCTCACCTATCTGGTCTGGGCTATTTCTTTGTGCATTCCCGCTCGCACATATGGCAAGGCAACATACGACTGGCTCAGTTCGAACCTCACAAACTCACTTGAGCTCGACAGTAGCGATGCGCTTGTCACCGACCTTTTGATGTGGATTAGCAAGCAACCATCCAACCAGCTGTTCGCCTGGCTTCCGACTTTCGAGCATTTGGAGTGGAAAGATTTGTCGCATGAGCAAAAGACCGCCAACAATGATGAGAGCAACTCTCACCACCTCATAGCTTCTGCTGGCTACACTCCTTTCTTCCACGAAGGCGTACCATTCCTGCTGTACAAACCGGATGGCCGAGGCTACGTTAACAAACTCACGTTACGCTGCATGTGGGGCAGTAAAAAGCCCATTGAAGCCTTGCTGAAAGCCGTTCATAAGACTGTCAGCGGCCAGATGACGTCCCTGGCTGTCCGTTACGTCTCTTCCCATAACACTATACACCATACTTCGAGGAAACGTAGTCTTGAGACGATTGACATGAATCCACTCAAGAAACAAGAGCTTCTGACTGATCTCCAGGTTTTCCTTGCCGATGGGACGGAGGACTATTACTATCAGAATGGAACGCCATACCGAGGAGGCTATTTGTTCTACGGGCCAGCTGGTACAGGCAAGACAAGCTTGTCTACAGCCATTGCGAGCCACTACAATCTGCCGCTTTGTGTCATCGACCTTGCCGGCATGGATGATACGACGCTGCAGAGGCAGGTGAAAAACCTGCCCGCTCGCTGCGTCATCCTTTTTGAAGACATTGATGCCGCGGGCATTGTCCGTGAACGCACCATGGCGCCGCCGCCTTTAGAGAACGATGACGATAGTGATGAGGAGGAGGAGGAGGAAGAAGAGGAGGAGGAGAGTAGTTCAGAGTCCATAAGCTCATGGAATGCAAGGCCGAAGAAAAAGAAGCGTAGGAACGTGGATTCTAGAAAGAAGAAGTTACCGCCTCCCCCGCCTCCCCCATCGAGGACAAAGGTCACTCTAAGTGGTTTGCTGAACACTCTAGATGGACCTGGATCGCGAGAAGGCCACATCGTCATGCTGACAACAAACGCTCCCGATTCACTGGACGAAGCTTTGTATCGCCCAGGTCGTGTAGACACCCAAGTGTATCTCGGTTTCGCTGATGATATCACTGCTGGCATCACATTCACACGCATCTTTGGCAGCGATAAGCAGGTGACTGTGCCGCGGAAAGAGCTCAACCGCATGGGCCGCCGCTTTGGGCGCATGATACCCTCCGACTTCTTTACTCCCGCTGAGATTCAGAAATTCTGCATGAACAGACGTGGTCAGCCACAAAAGGCACTCAACGAGTTTCCCCAGTTCATCGACGAAAAGCGAACGGGAAAGACGAACTTCCAGTACGACATCCACCGACGTGCCCCGCAACCCACGTTTCAGAAGGAAGACGTACGGGACGATGACTCCAGCGGTGAGGGTCAGGACACTCCGAGTAGTACTGATGAGTCTGCCGAAGACGTCAAACAACTGAACCCTGAATCGTCCCATACATCATCAACGAAGTCGCCCTCTGCAGCACGGCGAAGGAAGTACGTGGTTGAGCAGCTGCACATAACTCATAGCAGTCACAAGTTTGAAGACGATGCTTTGGCATACGGCGATTATCATCCGAGACGAGGTCAACAAGTTTGGGAGGACCGTCTAGCCGACAGTGTTGCTCATGCGTGCCAGGAGCTCAAGGATTTTTTTACTGATACACGGCATTCGTCGCACGTACACAGGCTGCGTGCAAACCAGATTGAAGAGATGACTATGCCCAATCTTGACCCACGCGTGACCGCGCCGTCACCACTCACTCAGTCCAACCTTGATGCAATGTCGCTTGACGAACCTCCAGCGGCATCGCTATCTCCGATCGACTTAAGAGACTCATCTGTGTACTACACGCCTCTATCGGTTGGCGAACAGATTGAGAAGACTTTGCAGCATCACCGCCGGCCCAGTCATTCAGATGTAGATGGTCGTCGTGATGCCTACCCGCATCACGGGCCCCTGACGGAAGTAGCCGAAGGTAATGCCTGGGAGGATGAAGTGTCACCGGCGCCTGATACCGTTTCACTTCGTACGTTAGACCCGCAGCCGTTGGAGGATTTCGAGCAGCGCTGGGATTGAGAAACAGCGCAACAGAACCCAAAGGTTGTGAGGTTGCAAGAGGCGGGGCGAGGCCACGTCGCCGTATACTTGTAGGGTTAGAAGGCTCGGTCTTATTACCCAATAGTATGTTGCATAAATGGAGTCTGCAATTTGTTCATGCACCCAGAGCTGGGAACGCGATATGTGACTAGCAACACAAGGCCATACAGTGCCATTTTGAGGAATGAACGAACCGGGATGGAGCAGAATGGCATCTCAGAGGAAGACTTTCGGAGAGAAGTGGTACTTGCTTTGGACAAGATCGCGATCTGCGCCAGATCGCACCAAATGTGCTGCATTCCATAATGTTTCTCCGCGTTACGCGATAACCTTAGCGGTCGTCGAAGAGGATTCCCGTATTGCGCAATGCTCCGATGATGACACATTGTATCCTTGCTTCGTGGCCCACAGCCCCGGTGGCTAGACGGTCGTGACAAGACTGCATACAGACGCCGGTAATCATGATACCCGACTTGGTGTGCTGAAGTGTAGCAGCCTTACTGGGAATAACTTGTTGACAGTTGGGCTGAAACGGTGCCGGGGAACATTGGACGCTTTAGGCGCGCAACATTTTGACACTTGGAAAGACGACTAAAGAATTCGAAAGGGCCTCTTGATGATGTATGTGAAGAGGTTTGAGCGTGAAAAGAGTAAGATATCTGTGGTCGTCGTCGAAATACCTCGGTAGCGCTCTGGTATCAAGAGCGGTATCAAACACATTTCCTCAGCCCACGTGACGTCGCGTTCAGAAGCACCATGATTGGGTCGGAGGACCCATCCGTACCAACGACACTACTCCTGCACCAGCACGGTTCCGTACAAGACGTCTGGACACAAACCTGCTTATGCAAGTCAGTCACTTTCACTCAGGGTCATCCCGCTCGACGATGCACCGAACTTAGACTATCACTGTTCATCGATCCTTCCATCGACGTTACACTAACTGCAGATAGCACCGGGTGGACTACACGTCCTGTACATGAGTATGAATCGCTTGGCGATGGGGGTATAGACCGTATGTAGGCTTGCTTCTCCCATGCGAGCAGATAGCACCGGGAGGACCACACGTCCTGTACGTGAGGACATATCGCTTAGCGTTGGGGGTATAGACCGCATGTATCCTTGCTTCTTCAATGGGGAGAATTGCCGGACCCTTGACTGGGTCGACCAGAAACGAGCTAACCCATTCTCCGGCCCAAGGTTTCGCTTCACGGTCCCAGTAGTGCGACTCATCCGGGCTCGACCGCATGAACTAAGAGATATCGGGTTGTACATGCTAGTGGGCTCCGCATCAGGAGAGGAATACCTAGATACTCGACCATCTGATCAAGATGTGGAACTGAATCAAGTCTTGTGATATGAGATATGCAGAAAAGAAGCACATCCGGTAACTCGGGGTCATGGAGACAACCAATTGGTGTGTTTAGCCTGATTCTTGGCGGAATGGCTTGTTTGCAACCGGTCACAGTATCTCAGCCAGTCCACAATCAGGTTTTCTGCCCAAACAATTCTCGCAACCACAAGTCTAGGGTACAGATTGAATCCACGTATATAAAACAGCCATCCAGATGAAGGTATGCAGCATACCCCTCTGGGAAACTCGTTCCGATGTGTAAGTAGTTCTGGAGACAGAGAATGGTTATCTTTGACAAGGAAGCGGATAGACTGAGTGCTATGACCCTGCAGCATTGTAAGGCTGGTACTTCACCCGTAACGCACTAAAGTAACGCCCACAGCTCAGCCCATGAAAGGATACATCAAGAGATATGCATCAAGACTGGCATGGGATCGATCTTTGTGTGTCCCTGCGACTGCCCATAAAACCCGTGGAAGACCTCATCAGGGCCGGCGCTACGAGACAGACGTGGGGGCCACGTTCGGGAGAGCTACGTAGGATAACGATGCCACAGATATAGCAGATGAATGCAAACGAGATGTTTAACGTAGCATGATGTTGGTAGACATTAAGCGAGGCCCATGTGGTCGGAGATCGAAGCTATGAGAGCCTTCTTTTTTTGCACAGGCTAGGCCCAAAGCGCCGCTAGCTTACCCCACCATAGGATTCAAACGAGAGCAGCAAGGAGATTTACACCGAAACCAATGAATGACCTTTATCTTTTCGCTTACTTGCCAGTTTCGGACCTTCTTGCCCGCTGCCCAACATCTCTGGACCCTGCGCTGTTGCGATTCTAGAATCTGTTCATGCAAAGGTGAGAGCCGCCACCAGTAGCTTCACCTAGCTCGCATCGGAACCGTGGGATTATACCTTTACTACACTTTTGACACTTAAAGCCACAGTTTCGCCACTCACCTGCCTGCCAGGACTTCCGCCTGCTCTTTACTTTTTGGCGGCATTGACGCCGGCAACGCCACTTCGAAGGCTACCATGGGACTCCTCGATCTTCCCCCAGAACTTCTTGACCTGATCATTGACCGTACCGCACCTGATGGTCTTGAAAGCTTCGTGCTCTCATGTAAGACTGTGTATGGACGCGCTGCGTCCCAGATCCGACAGCACAATGACATGCGCAAGACTTGGAGCCACACGACTAACATGAGCCGGACTCGTCGCGGTGACACACTGGCTATCCTGCACGACATCTCTCGCGATCCGATCATTGCTGAGTACATTGAGACTCTTTCTCTCTGGGATCGCCGGCAAGACGATGAAATGCCGGATGATTCCACCCCGCACAGTTTCCGCGAAGATGAGCAGGAGATGGAAAATATCAGAGATTTGCTGCGGCGCGCCGAATATTACGCCGATGCTGACGAGGAAGAGTGGTGGGGTCGCATTCTGGAAGAAGACAGAGCGGGTGACCAGTCGAACATGGACAAATTGTATGCGACCGTCGCTTTGTTAAGTCTTCTACCCAACCTCAAGACGCTGCAACTGCCTGATAGGTGGCATGAGGTCAGGGAAGGTGAGGGCGCCGAGGCTCTTGTTTCTAATGTGCAGTCGCTTGTCGCCAAGTCCAATGCAAGTGAGCACCGGCAGAAGCCCCTGGCTCGGCTCGAGACTCTGTTGCCGTTCGTGGAGGAAGGGTATGACGTCAGAGTTGGCTTGCAATGTCTTGCACCTTTCATGACTCTCAATAGTATACGAAACATCTACGCTGTCAGCTGCGTTGCAGTTGACGAGGATTGGGGAGGTGTTCCCTTCAACTGGCTCAACCCTAATGTCAAATCTCCTTTGACCCGTGTCGAATTCGCCTACTGTTGCATGGACGCTACGGGACTCTCGGCCTTCCTCACAAACACACCAGCTCTCCAGGTCTTCAAGTACTCACACCAAACAAAATGGGATGGTCTTGAACACGACTGGAACGCGGGCGAAATGATCGAGGCCCTGGCGAACTACAACAGCAATACTATTGTTGATCTCGCCATCACCATTGACGAGCTGCACGGCGAGATTGTAAACGGTCTTTCCTCGTTTCTGCGCTTTACCAAATTGCAAAAGCTAGAGGTGGACGTTGAATGCTTCTGTGGACCACCACTGGAGAGCGGACAGCGCCAGGGCCGTGATGCGCATGTTCCGACTGGCGCGAGGACGTGGGGGCATATCGACATTCCCTGCATGGGTGACATGCTTCCGGAGAGTATGAGAGAGCTGCATGTCAACACAAACTTCCCAGAGCCGTCGGAAGAGTCCCTTAGGGCTCTGTTCAAGAACATCGTGGTGCGACGTAAAGACAAGCTCATCAACTTACATACGGCGATCATCCGACAGTACGGGTCATCCAGTGCGGGAAAGATTGCCGAGAGCCATGATGTCATTTTGGAAGTATTCGGCGCCGATGGTGACAACCTACTCCCAAGGTCCATGATGCCACTGTGGAAGAGAGAATTCAACAGTCGCGTCGGCGGCATCGTATTCACAAATAGCTAGAGGGAGGACCTGACATCAACTGGAAGATCGCAACCTTCTAGTTGCGCTGATGGGCTGCTTTCCGGATCCGAAGACACGAGTTTTGACAAGTGCGGTGTTGGTGTAGTACGCGATGCTGGAAGCGAGGCGCTTGTGTGTAGGTAGTGGTGATTCTAGGAAATACCAGAGGTCATGGCCGGCCATCGCCGATTCGGAATTCTTTGTATATGTATCAACAAAAAGTCAGTTAATCTGGAAAGCAATGTGAATGCAAGAACGACCTTCCAGTGATCGCGAATGTTGTGATGCCCCTGCATAGTCAGCATGATAGCGCGGGTCACGATTGCGTCATACCAGCGCCCCCAAACCAGCCACCTCGCGCACTGACAAAATCATCACATACGAAAGCAGGATCGATATTTATAACATTCAACACATCAGCAGCTACGACCTTGCTAAGCTCGCAGCCATGGCAGTTGCGTGCTCATTCCGAACTGAACACGTCGCGCGAGCACCGGCCAGCACGACCCATCCTTGTTATAGCATACCGGAACAACAATCACAGCCCCACTATCGTTTATCAATGATATGATGAAAGCCGACCAAGAGGCTCAAGTGTCTATCAATTTATCTGCTTAGAGAACTCAGATGGCGCGAGGCACATGACTTCACCCAGCGGCAGCTCTGGATTAGTAATGGCCGCAGCCCACTGAGACAGTAACACAATGTACAGCACGTGAACGATGCGAATATTGGTCTAGAGATGCGTTCAGTCAATCTGTGCATGACCAATGTCTCCCGCTCGACAGGTAGACCAAAGTATGGTTCACGCTGACTCACAGAACTTCGAACAGTCATGTACTCAATCTTCAAAACCTGCGTTTCCTGCCCTTGTTCCATCATCTAAAAATATCGCCCCATCAACTTCGAATATGAAGGTGCCACTTGAGATACTGCGCTGCATCTTGGAATTTGCAGGCGCGTCCTATAACCGTCACGAACTTCTCCAGCTGAGACTAGCCAATTGTATGTCCATTAGTCCTAATGGATCTCGTCGCATAGCTAACATTATCTAGCTCTATTCGACGAAGAAGTCCGCTCCATATTCTTCACCGACCATGGCCTCGAGTCAGTTCGATTCTACCTCCACTGCGGCGCGGCCTCTGGTCGTGAATGTGTTCGACAACCTTTCTGGGACAGAGTTGATCGGTACTTTCGTTACGCATACCTCCAACATCGCGTCAAAATGCGGGGTGCTGAGTCCAGCCTCTTCGCGCATTTATTCGCTCCCGTATATGAGTCACAGCTCAGAAATCTGGGGATATCGGAAAGAGACCGTGCCACTAGACAAGAGAAGCTGGAATTGTGGACAGGCTTCTGTATGCATGAGTATTGGAAGGAAAGCAGGGTAGTCGCACACGCTTCCTCGTCAGATGGGGCGAAGAAGCTGCCACACTATGATGAATACACGATGGATGACGACCCCGAAAAGCGGGTCGAGAATGACCGGAAGTTCCTCGAGATCTGTTGCGCCATTGTCGCCGACGAGGAAGATGCAGTGCTCGACGCATTCGCAGGCTTTCACAGCAGCGTAGACGATCTGAACTACTGTTTCGGCACGACCCTTCTTGGCTTCGCAGTTAGTACCGGACATACAAATATGCTCCAACTGCTCCTCCGCTCAGTAAAAAGCATAAAGCAGGAGCAGCTATACAAGTACCTCTTCATCGCCATCGCCGAGCTCGATCGCCCCAAGAAAATGATCGGCATTTTGCTCAACCACTCCATACAGCATATGAAAGATACAGCAGGAGGCAATGTCTTCGTAAGAAAAGACGTAGCAAGACGGATTCTCAGCAAAGATCTCCTCATCTCAGCCAAGGCCAAACGCGACAAGCGTGTCTTCGATGAGATATACAAATGGATGGAGCGCGTTCCAAACTTTCACGGTAAACTCGTCATCTTCGAGGCTTTCTTCAACCAAACTCTTTACGATGAGAATCCATGCGTATTTCTTCCCAAGCTTGATACTCTCTCAAAGCAGGTTGACAAGATTCCGGGGACACGCGCCGTGATACCCGCGTACTACCTCAAAAAGTCATACCAGCGGCAGCTCGATAAGAAGTTCAGCGACGTATATCGTCATGGCCGTTGGATGTGTCCACGTAGCTGGCCCGGGTACAGGGAATACAAGGTCCCAGGATACTGCATGATCGGCGGGTCGTCCATAGGAAGAATGAAGTACATAAAGTTGACGAGCCCGCTGTTCAAAGCAGTGGCAAACAAGTCGCTAGATTGGGCTGATAGGCTGCTGTGGGCTGGTGCGGATGCGGGGTGCCAGGAAGATGGCGTGGGCTTACTAGACGTGGCATGGAATGCCAAAATCAGGTTAGAGGTTGCGCAGCTCGTTTATGCGCATGGCTGGAGGTATAGAGATGGGGAGTGGTTGAGATGCGGAGATGCTCAAGTCTAGGATGAACTGCGAGTAAACTACTATCGAAACACGCATGCATTATCGTTAGTAACGTGCGCCAGCTTGCGCCTTACCCTTGCTCTTGCGGCCATCACCACTTCTGTTCCCTGTGCGACTTCCCTCACCTCTCAGTTCTTCCCCGATCCTGTAAGCAGCCCCACAGTATCAACCATCCAATATCATATCCGCAATATCTCCCCGATCAGCTTCTCGCGCCAGCTGCACAGCAGTCTTCCCTGCCCTATCTTCTACGTCGATATCCGCTCCTTTATCCAACAGGCACTGCACTATCTCCAAGCTGCCCCTCAAAGCAGCGATAGCCAATGCAGTCATACCTTCCCGACCTTGACTTCTGTGGGCGCGGCTACATCTGCGGTCAATATCCTCTTTGATCTCGTCTTCGGTAAGATTGTCTAGGAGGGTCTCCATGACTGACATGCGACCGATCTCGGCGGCGACGTGGAGAGCAGTCACGCCGAAGTCTTCGTATCGCATTCGTGCACCCCGCTTGAGCAGCTGGTCCAGACTCTTGATATCCACGTCTGCACCCGCATGGTGCAGCATGAGGTTGAGCGCGACGCCTTCCTCGATGACACCTGTGTTGAAAGGAAACTTCGGCTGCGCTAGGAAGAGCTTGAGAGTGTGAATGTTGGGATACTTGACTGCGTACTTCAGCGGTCTAAGATCACGGCCTTCGGGGTGGTCCATGGTGTCCTCGTTCAGAAGAAGATTTGCCATACGAGCGCTTCTGCGTTTGAGTGCCGTGTTCAGGGCCGTGCGAAGGTCAATCTGCTTTCCTTTGATCATCTTATCAACGACTTCGTAGCGCAGTATTTCCTTGAGCATTCGCGGTTCGTGCTCCTCCGTTGCGTATTCGATGACGTGATACGCCTTCTCTTTCATGTTGGTCGTTATCAAGATCGGCCCTAGTAAGCGGTGGTCGCCGGAATCTATGATATCTTCAGCATAGGCAGTGTTGTTCCACGGAAAGAATCTTCCCGATGTCTTTCCGATTGCGAAGGTGATGGTAACTTCGAGCAACTCAAGGTCTCCCCTGTAACATGCGTTCCACAACATGTTCTCTATATCTTTTTCGGGCAGCTCTGGGAATCGTGAATCAAGCTTGCTGAAGATCATGTTAGCTAGCTTTGCACTAGAAATAGCTGCAAAGGTACATTGGCCAGTTGTGGTGTAGGAGACTTCTTTTGAAAGAATCTCTGCCATCCTGACGTGATTATGCAGAATAGCAACATCGAGCGGTTCTAGACCCTGGGCGTCCTGGGATGTCGCGTACTCTTCGAATAGCCAGTCTTGACCAGCATTGTCCAAGACCTCAACAAGGTCGAGGAGAGCGAACACGTGGAGGGGTGTTGTGTACCGCCGCCGGCGATCAGAGTACCGAGACATACCGTAGTTCCAGGCCATGAACATGATCCACCACTTCTCCAGGATTGTTGACTTGGGACCGAAATATCTCAGTATGAGGTCCATACGGTTTTGCTCGGTGTCTTTGGAAAGCTTGAGATGGTCAGCCCAGTGCATTGTCGCATACTTTAGACAAGAAGGGGCCTGAGACATCCAGGCAGACTCCTCGTCGTTCTCCAGGTCTGCTATGTCGATTTGCATAAGACCGACATTGATTGCATCTAAACACTCCTTCGCAAGCCTGGTGTGACAGTCAACCGCAAATTTAGACTTTGAGCGCGCGAGCCATGCATCCGAATCTATAAACTCAATGCGATCGGGAGTGACTAGCAGCTGTGTCGGAATGGAATTGAGAAATCCGAAAATGGTAGACCAATTTTCCTCTGGAAAGAGAGCCCGGAACTGTTCAGTCGTCGGTGGATGAAAGAACGCGGCAAGCAACTGTAGCGCTTTAGAACATAGTACTTGGTCCTCGTAACTGAGGGCTTCGAGGCGCCCATCAATCGTAAGCGAATGTGCAGACAAAGAGGGTTTGCTCCCTGCGTGCGCAGTCAGGCCGATGTTACTGAACGTCGAACCATCCAGAGGGGTGCTGGTAGTGACGAGAATTTTGAACTTGGCTCCAGCTTCCGGACAGCCTTCGAGCGGGAGTGTAAGGGTCAGCAGTTCAATGATGAGAGATTTATCTTCCGTGTCGCATTCCTCCAGGCCATCCAGTATACAGTACGTAATTCCCTCGCTGTGCAGCTTCGCGGCGCGTCGCAAGAAAGCCCACATCATCCTGGCTTGATCGAGGTAAGTAGAAAAGTAGACGGGATCGTCGACGCATTCGCAAAAGTCTTTCATCATGATAGGCCGTTGTTGAAGAAGCTGGGACATCCAGCCTTTCAATACGGCGCTGGCAGTCCTGTGTTGTTGGTAGGGACGATGACAGAAAAAGTAGAGAACCTTAGTCTTGGAAGATGCCGATGACTGCAGACCTTGCAGGTGGTCCACAACGAACAAAGCTGCTGAGGTCCTGTCAGTCTTGGTGCCTCCAGAGATCTGTACGCGTAGCTGATCGGTAGTGGGTCCAAGCCACTTTGCAAAGTCGCTGTCATCTATCATCCATTTGTGATCTCCGGTCGGTCCTAGTGAGCTTTTGAGGGTGTCGAAGTGGTGGGTAGGATCGAAAGGTCTTACCGCCCGTTCGATCTTGTCTATCCCCGGCAGCATTAGCATGTAACCTCATTTGAGTGATGTGAGGGCAAAAAGGAGCAACTTACCTGTTGAGCTCGGCTCCTTCGTGTCGCTGGACTGAAGCATGTATGGACTGTCGAGACGTAAGCAATCCTTCTGTATGAAGTCTGGCACGGCGATCTGTGACTGTGCGTTTTCTGGCTCCATCATGAATACAATGATGGGTTTTACTGTCTCTCAACCGCCGAGAACAAGGGCAGGAGAGTACTTATACTTTTCATCTTGATGTTTGATTAGGTATCATTTTATGTAGCAGTTGCGCTTTACTATTCACACGCATTGCTAACAATAGCAGTGCATGGAGTTGCGGACAATAGCAAACGGGTGGCAAACTGAGATTCAATACGAAAGCGGGACACATTTCAAAGCTAGTCAATGGAAGAAATCAAATCTCGCGCTGACTTGATGTAAGGTGTTGGGTGGTAGTCAGGATGTTGTTGTAGCAGTCGCGATCACACCAGAACCCGGACAGGAAGGTCCGCGGAAGTCTCACGTGACGGCGCGACAAGCGATTTGTGGCTTCGGCGCGCAAAGCCGTCGCAATTGGCCGGGAAGTGTTGGCGCAAGCAGGATCTGACGCAGGGTGATCCAGTCAAACAAGGGAAATATGCGAGGAAGAAACAAGTATGGGCGGGTTGAGTTGGTCAACTGTTAGGAGCAAGGTTCCGGGTACGAGGTTGAGATGAGGTCAAATTGGGCATTCAGGCGTTGCGCCTCCCGCGGAGCGTTGCGGATGGCTTTTGACGGCATCGCGATGCTGAACAGGAAAGGCGATGCATTGCGACAACATTGATCAGAAAAAGAGCCATGCGGAGAGATCGGCCGAACATTGAGTGTCGTGATGTCGCGCGGTGCGGGCGGTGGTGTTGAGGTTCAGCCTCCTATTATTGGGCCCCAGCCCCCATAACAAGATGAATAATTGCATCATGGCGTCGTAGTCAACCAGCGCACTACTGTGTCAAATCCCCAAGCGCGCCCTGCTTTTCCCACTTCTCTTTACCTGGGACAGATTTTCGGCACCCTTCAATTGCTTGACTGTCTTGATCCTTCTCGAGCATTGTGTTGCGTGTTGCTGCACACCACATTGATCTACCTCCCCCACAACTAGCGCCGGCATCGTCGGTTCCAGGCCAGGAACTGCTGTTCCCCCAGACGACGGCCCCCCAAACACGCCAAATACCAACACCACCACTTTGCTGCCAGCGCGCATTCTCGCGGCCAGTGTCGCATACTGCTCGACTTCACCATGCCGGCCGTACGCGATCCCCTCAGCTTCCTCGCCAACATGGCGCCCCGCGACTCCAGCCTTAGCGCCCGACAGCCTGCCTTCGACGTGCCAGCGATTGTCTTCGATGCGCCCAAGACAGCCCCCATTGTCAAGCGACAGAACGTCATATATGCCCAGCAGGGTATAATACCCACCTACTACAACACCGACGGTCCCGAGCCCGGCACCGTTGTCGGCATCGTCCTAGGCAGCGTTGCCGGCTTTCTCCTGATCTGCTGGCTCATCCAGTCCCTGATGAACACCAACAACAAGACCGGTACAACCACAGCCATGGCCGGAGAGGAAGAGATCGTGGTGCGCAGGCCACGACGCAATTCACATGGCGGACGCTCGTCGCGACGCCGCTCGGAAGTCCGCGAGATTAGCAGGAGCCCGAGGCGGAACAGTGGACGCTCGCAGATCATTGTTGAGGAGAGGAGGGGTGCGCCACCGAGGGCAAGGAGCATCATCGTGGAGGGACGGCAACGCGTTCCAGGCGACGATGTCGTCGAGGTCATCGAGGAACACGATGAGTACCGCGAGAGGAGAGGCGCCCGGAGAGGCCCGGGATACCGGTGAGTGCTTGAAATGCCTTCATTTGAAGATATCGATTTACTAATGCATCCAGGTGAACAGATACTAAACAGTAACTCCATCACGCACCTTACCCTCCACCGAACACCCTACAACCTACCAACATCCTTACGTGCGACCACTACCTACCGTCGCACCACAGATACCCCCAGAATACCCTTTTGCTTCTATCGCGTTCTTGTTTTGCAGTACTTCCACCGATATATCTTCTTCTCTGTACCATAATACGGGCTGTTCTCAACACTTGGCGTTCAAGCGGCGGCATTGAAGGCGACGACATCCAGTTTGAAAGTGAAGGAATGGAAAAGGATATGTTAACGCATGACGCATCATGTATAGCGAGACGCGCCTCTGAATTGGACGTATGGGAAATGATTGCAGAACTCCTTATTTGCGGATGAATAGTCAATATATGATCTATGAGATCGAATTATTAGTAGCCGGCTGGACCTTGCCGTGACGTCGAGGTCGCTCTTTCCTCCCAAGTTCGCTCACCTCGACCAGCCCCACTTTATGTTGACTTACAAACAAACCGCGACACTCACTTCTCCACCACACTCTACGCCGTCGCCTTTACGTTCCGTCTCCAGGCTCAATACTCCCATCCGATACAGCGCGCGCCCAGAACGACTGCCATCTGCCGCTCGTAGCAAAGGTAGACAGCTGCTGCAAACCGCCCGCCCTAAAAACTGTACTGACATATGCACAGATGGCTAAATCGCTACTCGACTTACCTCAAGAGCTCCGCGACATGATCTACGAGTACGCACTCACGGAAGATGACGGGCTTGTCGTCCAACGATGGCCTGCGATGCACCTCAAGGCGGCCGGCGCCACGTACAGGACTGATCCAAACCAGCTGAAGTTCACCTGTCGACAGCTCTACGCCGAGACGACTGGACTGAGCCTGCGATACAACGAGTTGATCTTCGATGATTGCGCAAGCTTCGATACATTCGACGAGTTTACAGGGACCTACTGTACAAGTGCGCATTTCGAGCGAGTCAAGAGAGTAGTCATCGTTCAGGAAAGATATTGCAAGATGCACCAAGAGCTGAAGAGAGCGCATGGCATCGGCGAAGCCTATCCAGCCTTGTCGGTTGAGATACGCTGTGACTGGCTCGCGGAGCGTACTGATTTCTGGACATGGTTCACTGGAGGCACTGAGATTCAATATGCACTTTGCGACACGTTTCCTGAGGTTGCTGCTCCTTGGATCATGTCTATGGTACAATCAAGGCGTCAGACACTTGGGTATCGATGGATCGTCAACCCGAGGAGCTTCCAAATATATCCTGCAGGCTTCGACGAGGAAAGTCTTAGGCTCTCTGCTATGGAGATGCATCTCGGCGACATTGAAGGAGGTCTTGACGACTGGGTTGCGCAGTGCAAGAAGTGGTTCCAGGAAGGCTTCTGAGTTGCTGTCAACGTTGCATGGGTACTACAGCGCATCTGGCAGTAGGAAGCCGAAGAGGTGCATCTCAGGTTTGTCGTTTAGAACATTATACAAAAGCAAGAGCTGGTGAGCCTGAGAACAAATCGGGATACGTGCTACACGATTCAATCGATACTCCTGTCTGATAGAGTGTCATCACTTCCCTTTACTGTGACGTCACACGCGCAGTCACTCTTTCCCTGTGAGAAGTCTCAGTGCCTCGCCAAGCCCCAGAGCAAACGGACTAGTCTCCTAGACAACAACATTGAGACTTTACTTGCCTCTCCGCTTCTCCTCGTCCTCACACTACTCACTGTTTCCGTCACGACACTCAGTATGCGCCTCGAACCCCCACAGCCACTCGCCACAGGCGGCTCGGCAGCACCGTCGGCCCCAAACCGCCTACTCGCTCTACCGAGAGAACTCCGCGATATCATCTATGAGTACGCACTCACTGAGGATGAAGGCCTGCTCTTGTTCGAGCGTCGCACACTAGGGGAACCCTACAGCTCCCGGAGGATCTTCGAAGGACGCCGCCCGACTGACCCCGATGTCGAATCCAATCGCCTAAAATACGTCTGTCGCCAACTATACGACGAAACCAAGGGTCTGGGATTGGGACTAAACGATCTCGCCATGCATTCCAAGCGTCAGGTTGAAGGTTTCGTTGCGTTTTTTGACACGTGTTCGACCAGTCAGCAGCAATGTATTCGGAAAGTCACGTTGAATGATTCCTTCGTCGTTCACTACGGATATTTGGGCAGATGGGACAAGGCCATTGAGATCTTAAGGCCATATGGCGCATCACATCCTTGCATGAAGTTTCATTTATATGTCAATTCATTCAGCAAGACCGATTCCGCCGTCCACTGGCTCCTCTTGGCCGGCACCATCCTGTATGCGAGATACATGCACGCGAACCATGCTGCTATCCCTCCGCAAATAAGCATGATGGCCGCGCGCATAAATGCTGATCGGGTGCATCCAATTCCCAGTCACATCCGCATATTCCTTGGTAAAGAACCTGGCCACGTCATACACACTGATTTCGATGAGAGATCCGTACAGACATTTGGTGAAGAACAGATCAAGATCTGCACTCGAGAGCTCGAGAAGTGGCAACGCGACGGCATCTAAAGAGCTCGGGGTCACGCCGGTGAGGTGCCGGTGTGCGATTGCAGAAAATCGATGCTAGTGTCGTTGCGAAGGCTGGTTTTACTCCAGGTACGTTCTTCAGCTGATTCTTGGGGTTACGGAATGGTTTGCTAACTACACAGACTCCGGTGTGTATCATGAAAGCTCGGAACTTGCGCTGTAGGGTGTAATCATCACTTGGATTCGGCTTTTGCAATATAACGATCTGGATGGACTACCTGGGAAGAGAGACGAGTGGCATCAAAGTGTCGGAGGTATCTGCGGTATCAGGAAGGCGAATAGAACTCGACGAAGTAGTCGAAGGTCTGGGCCTGAGAGACGAGAACAACATGAAAAGCATTCACGCACCATGAGAAGACTGCAAGTGATTTGATGATAATGTATTGAGGGCATGCGCTATATTGGCATCCCATTTCCCGTCCTACAAACGGACGCTCATACTGAATTACAACTGATAAATTTTAGGCCGTCACAGTCCACTCCAAGCGTGAACACATCTTCTCCGTCATAGCCTCATTCCCACAACCAGTCATCTAGACCTGGTTCTCGTTGCGCTCCGCCGGCTCCAAGATACCACCGTGGGTACCAGCCTGCTCGGCCTTGCTGAAGTTGCGACCACCAGGACCCATGTGCAGCCTGTCAGTGTCGACAAGGCCGTCCTTGGCCAAGCTCGACGCATCCCACTTGGCGCTGGTAATAGGGTTGACGTGAATCATGTACATGGTGTCGATCTCCTCGAGCGAGCGGCCCTTGGTCTCAATCATGAAGAAGTAGACGACGAAGAAGAGCAGGACGAGGGAGACTGCAAAGACGAGACCGTAGAAGTAGTCGATGCGGTCGGTGATGAGGGTAGAGCAGAAGGAGATGATGAAGTTGAAGAGCCAGTTGGAGGCGGTGGCGAGACCCATGCAGGTAGCGCGGTAGCGGGCAGGGTACAATTCTCCGACGATGGCCCAGACGAGGGGGCCCCAGGTGGTCGCGAACGCGGCAATGAACAGGCAGGTGAAGACAATCATGACGTTTCCGGCAGCGGGCGTGCTCTGGGGAAGGTTCTGGTCGAGGGCGTAGTGACCGACGAAGGAGTAGATGAAGAGGCACATGGCCATCCAGGCAGCACCGACCATCATGGCCTTTCTGCGGCCGACGTTCTCGACGACCCAGAGACCGAAGATGGTAGCGACGACGTTGACGGTTCCGAGGATGATGGAGGTGACGTATGAGTTGGAGAGGCCGGTGGCGGAGAAGATGGTTGTACCGTAGTAGAAGAAGTAGTTGGCACCAGTCAACTGCTGACCGGCCTGGAGGACCATACCGAGAAGAGTGCGGTACAGCATGCGGGGGCCGGTGAAGATCTCGTGCCATGGGTGGTCGCCGCCAGCAGACTCAGCCTCGAGCTTCTCCTGGATCTCAGCAATCTCGGCGTCAATGAAGGCGCTGTGGGGGTCGACACCGTTGAGACGGGCCATGTTCATGCGAGCTTCGTCGACCTTGCCCTTGCGGTATGCGTAGCGGGGAGACTCGGGGAGGAGTAAGATGGTGCTACCAAGGATGATGGCCCAGAGTGCGGAAAGACCGTTGGGAATGCGCCATTGGGCGCTGTTGACGTAGTCCTTCTCTGTGCCGTAGTTGACCATGTATGCGGTCCAGATTCCGAGTGTGATGAACAGTTGGTAAGAGGAGACAGTGGCACCACGAATGCGCTTGGGGATCGATTCGGATTGGTACATGGGGACGACGGTGGAAAGAGCTCCGATACCGAGACCGGCAGTGAAGCGACCCATGGCGAATTGAACCCAGACGTTCTTGCTGGTGATTTCGATGATGACACCGATGATGTAGAAGAAAGCGGAACCGGAGATAGTAAGACGACGACCGAAGGTGTCAGCGAGAGGAGCTGAGCCCAAGCATCCGAAGAGAGTACCGACACTGATGGGTTGTTAGACGCGTTCATGGCGTTGCGAACGAAGTGACTTACGCAAGAAGACCGACAATGGCACCAGAGCGGACAGCAGAGAACTCGTTGTTCTCACCACCGAAACGCGCCTTGAAGTCGTCCATCTCGAGGAAACCAGAGATCTGTCCAGACTCATAACCGAACATGAATCCACCGATACTGGCACAAGCACCGAGGATAACGGCAATGGCAGGCACGCGGCCCTTGGGCTCGAGATCCGCAGCCTGGACGGTCTCAGAGTTTCCCCTGGGAGGTGTGTCCGCAGGAGTGGCGGTGTTTGGCGTTCCCTTCTCGTGGATCTCCTCTTCGGTCGCCTTCTTCTTGAAGAAACGCGACATGACCGTCATGTTGGGCGCGTGGTAATTAGGAATCAATAGAGAAAAACAAAAGGGTATCGAGCAAAAGTCGAGCTGGTCTGCAGCGCGGGGTATACGTCTCAAACAAAGTGAGCTGGAGAGAAGCTGGAGAAGAGGAGACCAGTGTGGGCTGTGAGGAGAAGGCTGCACCGTATAAATAGCAGAAAATGCATGCGGAGACGGGTTCGTAGGGTCTATTGACAGTGGAGCCCCAGTGTCAGTCTCATCCGCATACCCATCCGACTAACATTTTCCAGAACGCCCTAGCCATGGAGGCGAAAGGAGATATGCTCGCACGAGCGCCCTGACAACGGAGGTATGATGACATCGCATCGTGGAGCTGGAGCTGGCAACGGGGCAGCCTGTCACGAGCACGCTCGAGCCGGAGAGCTGCCGGTCATGAATTTTCTTCATCGCGTAGTATCGGAATGGTTGCTGGACACGCCGAGAAGCACAGACAGTTGATAGTGCAACGATCGGCCCACTGCAGCTGTTGCAAGTATACCACCCTTCTGGTTCTGGTAGATTACTCCTCGGGGTCGTATACGGGGTCGTATAGTTTGTGATCTTGCCCCAGTGACTCCAGTATCGCGTGCTCCAACGGTGTCCCCTTACATGGCCATTGTGGATGGTGATGATGGGGTGCGCTTCAGTATCGGCGAACTGCTCCATCTGAGTATCCAATGTTAGACTTCATCCAGCCGGCCTATGAGATAGCTTGGAGCTACCCGGGATGTTTCCTTATGCAGGGGCATAGACGCGTCTATAGTGCAGACGAGGCTGACAAGTGCCTCATATCGTTGGACAATATGCAAGCCGTGTACGCACGGACGTGACGGCACTCGCTAGCTTCCGCAGAGCCTCAAGTCGCGTTGGATCGTTCACACCGGTGACAAGTCCATCTGGTCGCCATTGGAGGGTAGCCGGAACGAAAAGGTTGTTCTCGAGCTAGGGCAGCACGTTTTTCGTCCTAGTAGCCGGTAACTGGTGCGCCAGAGCTTCTGCATTAGAAAACCGGGGGTGACAGTTCCTGCGGGATATCCAAATTCTTCGCGGAGCGCGGTAAATCGAGACTTGCGACGTCAGATGTCCACCTCTACGTCACCGTGATTTTTCATCGCTGGCAGCGCATCCTCGGTGTCGGCGGTACGAACTTGGCAGGTTTCCCAGCAAACGCCGGTCTTGGCCGACGCGCGATAAAAACCTCATCTCCGACTCCGAGGTTGCAGCGCTAGCGGCCCGCTACGTGCATCCAAGCGTGAAAATCCTGAGCCAAGAGTCCTGAAGTTTTTGAGAAATACGGGTCCGTGTGGATCAATGCGAGAGCATCGTGAGATGAGCAATGTGACAGGTGCCGACATCCAGGTCACGCTTTCGCGTCGAGATTGTGAGACCGGGTGATGTTCGGGAGACCGAGGGGTTACCGGATGTTGGGAACGGCAGTATGTGGGATGACGGTTGTGGTGCGCATGTGGGGAGACACGTTGATGGAGTCTCCAGACACGTCTACGATGGTTAGCCTTGACTCCGTGCTATAGTAGACAGGTACCCCGTGGGTGGTGTGAGTATGGGGGTGCCAACCGCAAACAGAAAGATGCGTGATGTGACCAAACAAGCAAAAATACGTACCAGTCTCAACCATTCGATTGAGCGCACCAATGCCAAAGAGCCATTTCTCTTAAGCTTGATAGCAACATGTCGCCGTCGTTCTGAAAAGAGCCAAACAGACGTTCCACCCCGTGGGGAGCGCGACCTCTTATACAAATTGCTTCGGACGGCTTTCCTCCGGCTGTGGAGATTCCTCGACCCCAGAGAGGCGCCGATCCACCAATGAATGATGTAGTCCCGTGATGAACGAGCCGACTGCCGTTTCTTTTGCCTAATGTACCGCCTCTTTTGAGCCTCCTTTCATCCTCTGCCTGAGTCGAGAAGCGCGAACTCTTCCCGCATGTCGGATGGCATCCTGCTTTGGGAAAGGTTCAGGCCACCTCCGCGAAGCGCGATGCTTCCGTGGTGAATGTCGCATAGGAGCTGTGAGGACGGTACCATTCGTAGAAGACTTTTGAGAAGGCGAGAGCCGTAGTAGCACGCCTCTCACAAACCCATGTATTTTTTTGCCTTCGCAATGGCTTCTGCAAAGCGTGTGTTGGCTCTTTCCCATCGGATGGGGCGGAATGGGGTGTGGAGAAGGAGCTCTGGGGTAATGCGGATTAGTTATCGCCAAGCCCCGCTAGCTACCAGAAATGACATGACAGCGTGCTTTCCCTTGACACATCTTTTTCCCAGTCAACGCATGAAAGCACTCGAACTTGGACGACGCATACTCCCTACTCATCGCACCCGTTCTATGAATGACATGCGTTGAATCGCGATGCCTAACACTCTGCTTCATCACGATACTAGCCATATATACTCCGTCCCGGCGCATGGTAGCTAAGCTTCCAGAATGGGTCACAGTGCACGTGCAACTTTCGCGCGGGCATATTCATATCATGGGTCAGGGATTGGGTGTCTTATATTCGATGTACCTATCTGATTGCCCTCATGCTAGTATCGGCGTGTTCCCTCGGGTGTGAAGAACTCGAGAATCTATAGCACTGCCCAGGCATCTCCAAACTCTCGTTATACAAGCACTTCTTTCCGACTGTCCTTCTTGTTGCCGATGCGGCGCG